AGCCAATAAGGAGGGAATATGCTAATTGACTGCTCCACCCTCAAAGATGGCGACGCCCACAGCCAATAAGGAGGGAATATGCTAATTGACTGCCCCACCCTCAAAGATGGCGGCACCCTCAGCCACAAGATGGTCTGCAGGGGAGGGCAGTTGTGGGCAATCAGGCCAGCAGGGGAGGGCAGTTGGGGGCGATAGGGTCGGCAGGGGAGCAGTTAGGCGTCGATCAGGTTGGCAGGGGAGTGGTTAGGGGGTGATCAGGCTGGCAGGCAGAAGTGGTTTGGGGCAATCAGGCAGGCAGGCATGCGAGCGTTTGGGAGCCAGCAGTCCTGGATTATGAGAGGGAGGTCCAACTGCCGGTTTAGGTCCGAACCCTGTGGGATTGGGCCTTAACTGGCAGTCGGACTTCCCTTGAGGGGTCCCAGACTGGAGAGGGTGCAGGCTGGGCTGAGGGACACCCCCCACCCCCAGTGCACAAATTTCGTGCACCAGGCCTCTAGTAGATAGTTAATCATCCATTCACTTATTGAAAGACATTTGAGTTTTTTTCTAGTTTTGGGCTATTATGAATAAAATTGCCATGAACTTTCAAGTACAGTCTTTGTGTGGATATATGTTATCATTTCTGTTGAATATGTCAGATAAATTAGCAGCTACCAGAATCAGGTATGCCTTCCAATTCACTGAGAGGCAAGACTATATAGTTTTGCCAAGGTTTAAATCCCATCTCTGGTGTTTACTAGCTGTATAATGCTGGGTAAATTCTAATTATCCTCTGTGTCCCATTTTTCTCATCTATGAAACTAGAATAGTATTAGCACCTACCTCACAGAGTTGTTATGAGATTTAAATGAGTTAGTATGTTAGAAAATCGCCTGTTATTTGTACATCTTATCTATTATTATTAGCTATTATTGTTAATGCCAGTGCTTTCTCAGACTTAATACACACTTCTGTTATGAAATTTATAACATTACCTTATAAATGTTGATTTTCATGCCCTCTTGTTACTGTTAGCTTAATGGTAGAATCCCTTCTTTCTCTCCATTAGGTGCTATGCAGATTGCATGTATAGTAAATATAGTTGAATAAAGATAAAAGTGAGGTGTAATAGGTAAAATACATATCACATATTGTGTTTTAATGAAATCAACTTTTACTCTAATCTAGTTACAATTCATTGTTACTTGACTTATTTGAAGTATTTTTTTTCTTTTATTTAAATGTTTCAGCAATTGCTTTTATAATAGCTGTTATAAAGTATGTCACTTAGTATCTAACTGCTTGTTTTATGTCCTTCTTTTTGGGTCTGGTTGTGTTGGAAATAGTGCCTCAGTGTGTCTGGAGAATAAATGTGGATATTCCTGAGGAAGCTAATCAGAATCTTTCATTCAGTGCTACTGAGCGATGGTGGGAACAGACGGATTTGACCAAATTAATAATATCCAACAATAAACTTCAGTCACTTACAGATGACCTCCGACTCCTACCTGCACTCACTGTTCTTGATGTAAGTTGACTGATTATAAATCTGGGTCATTAGGTGAAGAGACTCTAATTCTAGATTTAGGCTTTGATGAGCAGAAAACCCATTTCACTTGGTAAAACACAAGGAATAATAACAAATTATCATTAGACATAACATAATGGTTAGGAGTGTAGAGTCAGAACATCACACTTCAAATTTTGGCTCTGCCACTTGATAGCTGTGTAAACTTGAGAAAGTTACCTTTTGGTGTCTCATTTTCCACATCTAAACTAGGACTGAGACTACTACCTAATTGTAAACATTGTTTTACAAACAGAATCGGTATTTAGCAAGTGGTTGCTGCTACTCGTATTTTTCTATTGCTATAATTTTTAATATCATTATTATTCTGGACATTAAAGCAAATACAGTTGACTCTTGAAAAATGCAGGGATTAGGGACTCCAGTCTCTGCACAGTTGAAAATCCATGTATGACTTTTGACTCCCCAGAACCTTAATTGCTAATAGCCTACTGTTGACCAGAAGCCTTACCGATAACGTAAACAGTAGATTAACATATATTGATCATTTTATATGTATTACATACCATATAAATTAAGCTAGAGAAAAGACAATGTTAAGAAAATCATAAGAAAAAGAAAATACATTTACAGTATTTACTGGAAAAAAAATCTGTGTATAAGTGAAACCGTACAGTTCAAACCCATGTTTAAGGATCAACTGCACTTAAGATTAAAATTTTTATATAACTTTCAACATTGACTTCAATTATTGAACTTATATTTTTGTGTGTTTATTTAGGGACTATGTTTTAGTCTCTAGTTGCCATGTCATGTGATAAAGCGTGAATAGTTTATTTCACAATCTACACACTTTTGATGTCCTTAATTTAGGAACATCAACTATCTTCCAATTCACATATGAAAAGTTGGATCTAGTCAGATTTCTAGAGAAGTTTTTGTTTTCTTTATTTGTAAAATGAATAGATTGGCTTAGGTTCGTGGTACCTTGAAAACAATATGATTCTTTGAAACCGTGAGAGAAGTCTCTCACCCACTTCTCATTTATTTTTATATATGTTGACATAAATCATGCCATCAGAGGACTATTGTTAGTTTCTAACCCTCCCATCTCTCATTTGAGATTGAAATTCCACTCAGTGAGGTGAAGTTTTTTTAAATTGTAATATTTAATAGTAATGATGTAACTTCATGATATCTGAACAGCAGTTTGATCAATTTCAAACTCCTTTTCCTCTTCTATACACAGAACAAATTTCCAATACTGAACTCGATGCTATTGAATTAGAAGAACGGGATTATTGTTGAAGAATTTTGTACAATGGCAAAGCTAATATATGGTTAATTATAAGATTAAGATATTGACTCTTTTAATAACTTTTAGATACATGACAATCAGCTGACATCCCTTCCTTCTGCTATAAGAGAATTAGAAAATCTTCAGAAACTTAATGTCAGGTAAAATTTAAACTTATTTTTAAAAAGAATACTTATACTTTATTTTTTCCATCACT